ACAACACAGCAACAAATAACAGGTGTTTATCATAATATTACAGTTTTTCTCAGTTTCTAAAACACTAAACCCTGTTCTTTGAACCAAATGCTCAGTTCCCCGAACCCAATTATTAAAATGGCCACCCTTTTGTAAGAATACTAAGCACGTGTCACCCAGTTAAACACAACATGCAGACCTATTTTCACCCACTAAAACACATTTTCTCCTTTGATTCACATGGGTTCCACAATGATTAGCACAGGTAGCTAAAATGAGACATAAATAAAGCACTGCTGTCTGAAGTGAAACACAGCAACTCAAAATAGATCACACATGTCTAATGTGAACAAACCAATACAAGGCATTACAAGGAGCCCTGGTCATCGAAGCTTCACTATGAATAGAAACAATCACAGAGGCAATACATACATACATACATACATATATATACACTGTTTTGATGCCCTGGCGGGGAAATTAACTCTCTGCATTTTACCCATTGCAAATGTGAACAGGGGTTAAGGCCTTTCCTCAAGGGCCCAAAGTGGGCCTGGTTGGTCCATTGTTCAATTTTAAATGGATGATGACCCTGCTACTCTTTCCTTGACCTACACCACTATTTAGCTAGCTTCTATCTTCCCCAAGAGGACTTTTGCCTTATATTTCAAAACAATAGCCTTGGTAATAAAAAAAACACAACAAGATTTGTAACCTAGTGGTGAGCACAGCTAAACAAAAAGTTAGGCTTGCTAACTCATAATCCGCTAACTAAAGTTAGCTGTTAGCAGACTTAAAGTTGGCAAAACCTAATTTAGCAAAAGCTAATTAGTCCCCTAATGAATGGAAATTAGTGAAAAAGCTAATCCACTAAATGAAAAATTTGATCCACCATTAGCTGCTTAGCAGAACCATGCCCACCACTGTCCGTAACGTTTTTGTAAATCTGTCTCCCTCTCATTCAGGTCAGAACTACGTCCTAATGGGAAAAACTGACGCACAGGGCAACGGCTCCCTGAGTCCCTCCAGCTTCACTCTGCTCTATAAGCCTGTACACGCCAAAACACTGTACGCCGTGTCTCGCAAACCGTGCTGACATCATGGCCTTGTCCACTAATCAGAGGGACATCTCTGAAAAAGATTTCACCTTATAAGGAATGGAACTGTTTATAGTAATATACTGCACCATTTTAACATCATAATGTTGTGAAAAGCTGTTAAGGTTAAATATTTCATTTTGTTTTATATCTAATTTATGTTAAATAGTATTGCTGTGGTAATAAACACATAATAAACACAGCTGAGGTAAATATAGTTTTTTGTTGTTTTTATTGACTAAAGAATTAAGATCAAAGCGCCAAATGATTTAACAGCCCAGCCCAGACACTGTTTGCTGCTGTTTTTGAAAATATTGACCTGTTTTAGCTGTCAAATAGATTACCTCACATTGAGGAGCCCAAATCATCACCAATTCACCACCATGCTTAACAGTTTATTTATATTGTGCAGAGATACAGTTGTTCAAACATGAAGTTTCGAAATCTCTCTTCTTTGCTCTCAACTGTCCAAAGGACATCACTCTACAAGTCTCGTTCAGTTAGACACTGCTTTCCCAACAAGCGGACGACAAATAGACCAAGTAAACATATTCATCTGTGAGGAATAAATGGCAAAATCAAACACACAAGAACTTTACTCAAGCAAGGTGGAGCTCAGTCACAGACAATGAGTCAGCAAAAAAAAAAAAAAAAAAAAAAAAAAAAAAAAAAAAAAAAAAAAAAAAAAAAAAAAAAACACGAACAGGTAAGCAGATCAAACAGAAAAGCAGGACTTTCTGGTTTGTTTTAAGATTTATGGTCAGAAAGCTGTGCAGCAAGACCATCAAACAATCACTCCGATGAAGATTTAAGCAAAAGAGGCTGATCAGTGTGCCAGCTTGATTCAAGATGTCTGTCACAGCTACTATGCAAATACTGAACTAAAATTTGGTGTGGTTGTATGGAGCTAAATTGGAGCCATAAATGTTGTTAAAGAAAATACTGTAACAAAGAATGATTTTGAAACTGAAAATAAATCATTTGAAACAAAAAATAACAATTTTTTTTGAAAAAAATTTGAAATAAAAAAACTTCATTTTTAAATTACATAATACAATGGCCTGCCATATTTTTTGATTTTATGATACGACCTACCATATRTCTTTAATTATATAAAACAATAACCTGCCATATTTTTTAAATGATATGACAATGACTTGCCATATATTGGTAAATATGAGACAAGGAGCCATATTTTCAAATATGACAACAGCCTGCCATTTTTGTCAATTATGTGGTTCAACAGCATGCCATATGCATCGTTAATTATTCGATACAAGTTTAACATTTCTTTAACCAGTTGCAAAATTGTTTTTCATTTTCAAAGATTTTTATTTCTGTTCCAACTTTTTTAGCTTCAAATAATCTTTATTTCCAAAATCTTTAAGTCACAAAATATTTTTTTAACAAACTTCATGGGCCCAATTTAGCGTCATATACAGTAGTAGTTGCTGAGGGTCATCTCCAAATCTTAGTTCTAAAGTTAAACACACAAGCAGTTACATTGTTGCCCTTCTTTTGTGACAACAAATATTGATTTTCAGCTTTTATTTCAATTTATCTGTTCCATAACTGAAAGAACAAAACATAGGTGATCAAGCATCTTATAATCTGTTCTTTGTGTTCAGTATTCAAAGAGAACTCATTTGTCTTTTATTTAAATAGTGTAATATGGTTTGTAAACTACACACTAATTGCACATTTCGATAATTGTGCTCATTCAAAAACAAAAAAAAAAAATGTGGAGTTTTATACAAAATATAAGATTTGGAAAAGATCCAGAAGAAATGGTGAAAAGGCTGATGTCCATGTTTTTATTTCAGCCCATCTCATCTGGAACAAGTTGTTTTATAAATTCTAAAATAATTTTGTTAAATTCAYGACCAGAAACAAAAATTACAATTTTGCACTTTGTGTAAATCTATAATAAAAGCTCAACATATAAACAACCTCATATATAAAAAATATATATTTATATACTGTTCATGTTAGAAAAGCAGATAAAGAACAGGGTTAGAGAAGATTTTTTTACAGCTTCAGAGGTAGAAAACTCTCAGGCATGAGAAAAGCATTTCAAAGGAAAGTTCAGATCTTATGAAGTGGCAGTTCATTGAAAATGATATAAACAATATCTTACCTGTTGTAGATAGTTATCTTAGACYAGTTTAGGGAAGTTTTAGCTTAAATCTGTTTGAATTGACAARCCAACAGCTAGTCTGGGCAGGGCAAAGACTTTAGTTGTTCCTGAGTCTTAAAACAACTTCTTTCTTACAACTCTTACACTAATAGCTAATCGCTAACCGCTAAGTTGACTGTCACTTACTCTGTCACACGTCTTTGTCTCCTTTGAGCTGAAGATTAATGGGACTGACTCAAACCTGCTGATGTTAGATTGTTAGTTAGCGGTTAGCGGACTTAGAGTTGGCAAAACCAATGAGGTGTACTGACTAGAGGCACTATCACATGACTTTTCATGATCGCAGAGAGCGGCCATATTGTTCGAGACGAGGACAACTGAACAACACCACCTAGCTGCAACTTGCAGTACCCGATTGCCGCGCCCCCAATCGTTACGCCTCCTGATGAACAGACAGTACTGTTAGCTGTTAAAGCTAAATGTGGGTACCATGACATGTTAAATGCAGGTCAGCACATTTTCTATTGCAYGTTTACTATGGACAACCAATGCATTCCTTTGATAGAAATGTTTGTCAGTACACATCCTAAAACAAGACAAGAAGATGTTGCCATGGCACACATATCTGCAATGGATGTTTTGAAAAGGCAGACGCTAACCAATGAAAAACTATTTTTATGCAAATCTATGGAGATAAATTGTTTGAATTGACAGCTCGCCCCTTCCAATATGGCACACCACAGTGGTCAAATTTCACCTTTAGTCAATAGACCTCATTGTTCTGTTTAYAGTTTTCCAAGTTAGCTGTTAGCTGATTAGCAGAACCATATGTATTATATATTAGCATAATGTTTCTCCTTGATAAGCTACATATTACAAATTTAACCATGTAAAAATTAGAAAATACTTTTCTTTTTAACTACAAAACAATGAATATAGTTGTTTTAAATTGGCAGCAATTATATACCTGGACCGCTGCTAGCTCATTAATCTGCTCAGATTTAAAGAGACAGTCTGGTCATTTTGAAGGTGAAGCAGTGGTTAGAGCTTTCATCTCTCAGCATAAAGGTCCCTCAGCCATGATATGGTCATCTCATTTCATATAGTTTACATTAAAAACTACATTTCGTTATTTTAACATTATTTTTAGTGTTATGATAAAAAAAACATTTCTACAAAAAAATTACGCTAAAGGACAGTTTGTTAGTGATTTAATTTTGACTTGTTTTTTGTTTTCTTTTCAATACAAGAGCACAATCTTGATTCGCTTAAGCTACTTTAATACGTAGGTTTCATTATTGGGACTTTTTTATTTGCACATTGTCAGCAACTAGTTGTATGTTTTTACAACACTACATTAAGATGCTTAAAATCGTGATCTTTAAAACAGAAATGTCTGTTTTTTTCTATGAACAAASAGAAATAAGTTGAAGAAAGTTTAACACCACTCACTTCTATAGAAACATTGGAGACTTTTGTTGTTTTTGGTCAGAGTTACAAGGAGCCAACAGAAGGGGGCGMTGAAGAGCCACAAATACCAAACTCTGCTCTGACTGATGTTGTTGCTCCAAAAAAAGGGACCTGATTATCTCTTTAAACCGGTTTCTGTTTATTCCTATAGCCATCTACAACAGGTAAGATGCTAACTGCTTACAGCAAACCCCCCATCAAAAGATCTGAACCATCGCATCAGARCTTTTTAGAACCAGTGTTAAAATCTACAAATGGGACAAACAACCTTCAGAAACTCGTCCCGACTTTCAGGGAACTACAGCGACGTGTTTCAAACCGCGGCACGACTGCAACGCTAACGGCGTCTGCRAGACCACCGGTGGCGTGCGGCCGGCAGGACACGTGACTTCGGGGGAAGCGTCTCTACACGTCGTCGTCGGGGTCGGCCCGGCCACACAGGAACATGAAGAAGAGGACGCAGCAGCCCACGACCAGAAACAGGCCCACCAGGATGTAGATCAACGTGGTGCTCCAGAAGGCGAACAGGTAGAGGGTCTTGTTGCAGTAGGACTCCAAGTTGGTTGTGTTCTTGATGTAGTTTGGCTGATAAATGGAGTAGATCCACACATTACCTAGAAGAAAAAAAGGAAAAAGATATTACACACCATTATCTTGAGCTTGTACAGTCCTTTCATTTTATTTTCCAGAAGCTTTAAAAGGATTTTCAATTTAAAAATTTGGTAAAAATTCATATTTTTAACCCTTATAAAACAGAAAAGTAGTTAGTAAATAAATGTTTATCCGCACTTTGTTTCCTTGTCTTGTTAACAAGCATTTATATCACTAAAACTTTCAATGCYTGCTTAAAACACTTGTTCAGCTTTTTACAGTCGGGTTAAAGCTGAACCTCTGTGTAAATTTAGATCAACCACGTTGACAAGTTGCCAGACAACCATAAGAGGCCTATAGGCTTTGATTATTATTGTCCTCTCAGAGCCGTCACCGTTTGGTAGGCAAGGCAGGCAAATGCCTAGGGCCCCATGCTAAAGCCCACCCCGGAGGATGGTACAGGAAAYAACAACAACAACACAGCCTCACAATTCCATCATTTCTTCCTACAAAAGGTTCCTCTATGGCAAACTTAAGTGGCCAAMGGCAACGACCACATGAAACACTGAGTGCATTGAAATAACTGGCGTACTCGTGCTATCCTGACAGCAACACAAACTGTAGCAGCATCATTTGGCTCGTAACTGTCTTGGTGGGGTGGACATAATTTATAATCAAAAAGAAAAAATAAGTAGGTCCTCTGGATGGGTTCTTCTTTAGTGAAACATTTCGTCTCTCCTCCAAAAGACTTGTTCAGTCTGATGAGTTTCAGGTGAACTCAGCCTTAAGGCAGKGCTTATAAGGCTGAGTTCACCTGAAACTCATCAGACTGAAGAAATCTGTTGGAGGAGAGACGAAACGTTTCACTAAAGAAGAACCCATCCAGAGGACCTACTTATTTTTTCTTTGATTTTTTTCTACCTGGATTACTGAGATGCATCAGGACATAATTTATAATAAATTATTATTTTAAATCTAAAAACTGCCATAAAATGTATATTAATCACACTAATGACAAACTTGACCTAACCATTAAAAACATGGATGAAATAAGAAATAYGAAACATACAAAATGCATATAAAACATGCCGTGTTAATGTTGATRGAGTATAGATTTACATTTTTCAATAAAWTTGTTCTTGAACTGGTGGATGAAGTGGTGGCTGTTTAGAAAAGTTTGATAATCAGAACATACAGTATGTGTTTATATTTACATTTCTTTAAACAGAGTACTGAAAATGACACAATAATAAAAATGTGTAGTACAATAAAAACTACTAAAAACAATAAAGAAAATTATTTGAAGTAAAATAATAATAATAATAATAATAATAATAATAATAATAATAATAATAATAATATAAAGTAGAATGAAAATAATAATAATAATAATCGAAATAGAAGTCGAAAGAGAAATAGAAAAAAATTAAAATAAAAAAATATAGAATTATTTTTCATTAGTCTGGTTAATTAGTCCTTGGTTGAAAGTGGGATGTAGTGTACGTAGGGCCTCAGTTGTTCCTCTTGCACGGGGACACCATCGTGTCTAGAACCAGCTCTGTGATGACTCAGTCAGGACCTGCTCACCTGCGATGAACCAGCAGAAAATGAACAGCGAGGACAGAGAGTTCCAGCTGGTGCAGATGTGGCTCAGCATGCTGGGAGCTTCATCTTTGGACTGCTGGGCGCAGGGAAGACACGCGAGAATAGCAAGAAACAAGCCAAAGACTCCGCCCACTATCAGGTAGATGGGGATGTAGGGCTGGCGTGGGCACTCGTTCAGGTATACTGCCCCTGGTGGACAGAAGAGGGAGGACAGGATGTTAGTGACTCCAACTCTGAGGAATTCATTTCTTTTTCTTTTAAAGCATTTTGTTCTCAAACAGAACAGTGTGGAACTCAAAGCATAGTTTTTGTTTCCCCAAGCTAAAGTCGCAGAGAAGGTCCCGGCTGCAGACTGGAGAATGGGGCAGCCTCTGATAGTAGGTAGGGTCAGACATTCAAAGGGGCATGGTCATTGTTTGTAGGGGGCAAGGAGTGGGGGGGAGTCGGACGGCAAGCAGCTCTAACGTTTAAAATAAAAGCAACAAACTTGAACTAACTAAGACAAAATGTTTTTTACTTTTTATATTTATAAATTTACATTTTTTCTTTTTTATTTCTTATATAGTTTATGTGAGATAATATAAAACTTTATTGATATGTATAGTATATGAGCGAAATAATGATAAAAATGTCACATTGAAGGGCTTTGTAAATATTTTATTTTAATAACACTTTTTCATTTCCCCTGAAAGCATGCACATATTTTCAAGTTCTGTTTATATTTACTGTATAATTATTTATAACTAAAATTACATGTATGCATATAACCTGAGAACCTGCATCTTATTGTTGAGGACATTTGTTATAAACTGGTTGTCTTTATTCAGAGGGACTAGATTTGATGTTTTCATTTTATGTAAATAAAATATATTTTTATATTTTTAACTCTTAATAAAAAAAAACAGCGTTTGCTTTTATATTTATGAGGTTCTACTAATAGTAAACAGCTAGGAGAAATGAAAGGTGAGTCCAAAGAAAAATGCTTGGGACTCAAAACTGTGCCTCAGAAGGGAGAGTGATTTGCATGTGGGTTCAGCTCACAACTCCATACTTTTCAGTCTGAACTGAGAAATAAAACCTCTTCAAAATAAACAAATGGTTCCATGACTCACCGATGGCGATCTGAACAATGGGCAGGATGCATCCACTGAGCTTTGAACACGCTGCAGAAAGAAAAACCCATATTTACAGAGTCATTCCTGTCACTGACTAAAACTAATACAGTATAATGTTTACCTTCGATGAGACTGAACCTTACCTAGTACTGGTGTTGAAGGTGGAGGGGTGTTGCGAACGCGGTTAACAATGGTGGTCATGATGGATCAAAGACTTTTACCTGCAGAGAATTTAAAAAAAAAAAGAAATCAAACTGAAGTTTTCAACAAGACGAGTCGACGGACTGAAAATATGACCTGGAACAACTATTTGCTGTCGTCAATTAAAAAATAAAAAATAAACGACAACAACCACCACCACCACCATAGTGGAAAACACAAAAAGCATTTTTATCGTTTAACCTTTTAAATTTGTTTATTTAGCATCATTGAATCAATAATTTAAAACTGTTTTCAAATTCCTTTTTCTATAAGGAATTAAAACTCTAATGGGTTATTATAGCACATTTTTGTTATTATTATTATTATTTTTATTAGTGATGCTCCTTCTTTAACGCCAATCAGTTCTTCATTAGTATTAAAAAATATTAAAAAATTGGCGGCCGGACTAAAGTCAGGAGCATGCCAGAGGTGGCCCGCCAGCTGTCAGTTGAATAGCCTTGCTTTACCATTCTAAATAAAATATAAGTTTGTGAAACTTGCAAATCATTGTTTTGATTTCCTATTTAACTTTTTTCTTTTTTTACATGTGTTGTAAATAAATGTGTATCCTACGATTTTCTTTCAGGCACTAAATAAACAAAGCTTATTACTTTTCAACCTTTATTCACCCTTATAAACCCATCTTATTCTTCTCTGTCACCATGAGGGCTGGATCATTACAGGTTTGACTGCATTCCTAAAAAACTGACAAAGACTAGTTCAGACCATCAGAACACTAAAATGAACAAATCTGACGCACTTTGAGTTTTTAATTTCTTAACTTTGACAAACAAAACTTTACCGTAAACAGGTTAAACCCAGTGTAGCCCATTCCAGAGCAAATCAAACTGCGGCCTCGCCTTTCTTATTTTGGTGGGGTTGTGAAGGGAATACTCCAGTGGATCAGTCCGACTCTGCTGCCCGCTCAAACAGGCTCCGAGTCCGGCTCAGGCCGCTCGGAAGGTCCGCTAAAACAAACCGGAGGGGAAAAAACCCCCGCCAGATTAAAGCTGGATGTGTGGAGAACTTACCGAGTTTTAGCGGAGTTTCTGCGCGTWGGGAGCGCGGTTGCAGCAGCTGCGCCTTTAACACAACGATAGGCAGCTCAACTGAGTGCAGCCAACCCCTCCCAAACATTTACCACAGAAAAAGAAAGGCTAAAACGCTGCTTGCTTGGCTCCACCTACTAGAAGCGCGCAGAAAGAAGCGCGTTCACGCGGTCAGCTGATGCCTTAAAGGAAAACAAAACAAACCAAAAAACTTTTTATGTCTCATTTTTTCAGCAGCTCAAAAACACATCGATGAAACTACTGGTTTTATTCTTTCACCTTTTCATCCATCCATCCATCCATCCATCCATCCATCCATCCATCCATCCATCCATCCATCCATCCATCCATCCATTTATTCTTTCAACTTTTAATCCATCCATCCATCCATCCATCCTTTTATTCTTTCAACTTTTAATCTATCCATCCATCCATCCATCTATCCATCCATCCATCCACCCATCCATCCATCCTTTTATTCTTTCAACTTTTAATCCATCCATCCATCCATCCATCCATCCATCCATCCATCCATCCATCCATCCATCCTTTTATTCTTTCAACTTTTAATCCATCCATCCATCCATCCATCCATCCATCCATCCATCCATCCATCCATCCTTTTATTC